CCGACTATGTAAAAGAAATGAATGTCAACAAAAAAAAACTACTGATTTTGGACGTAAAAATGCATTTTAACTAATAGTCTAATTGTTGACAAAAAAAACTAATAGTCTAATATTACATTGATATCAATTTTTTTTTTATAAATCGTGGGAGTTCCGAACTTTTGGTTCATAATCTCTTAGGTATCCGAAAGTAATTTTTGATATTTTAATTTAAAGAATAACTCTCCGTACCAAAAAAAAAATTGAATTCGGAACACAAAGAAACCAACTTTTTATGTTACTACTAGACCACCACATGATATCACCTGCTCATCCAAACATTGAGTCAAATTTTCTTTGATATCCGAATTGGTTTCTTTTTATTAAATGTTTGATTGCAAAAAAGAAATCTTGATAAAAATTATAATTTAAAAGCAAAATCCACAAAATAATATTATAAAGTATTTATCGATAACAACTCTACATGATCATATAGCTATCATATCACCAATTAACATCCTTAATTTATCAGTTATATTTTTCTTAATAACATATGCAAATTTTAGGTATCACTAATTAACCAAGCTGGTGGGTTTTAAAAACGAAACTTAAGCAATCCATCAAAATTTTGGATACAGAATAAAAAAATCGGTAAAAAAACTAGTGAGTCGCACTAATTCTAAAAGAATCAGGTGGGGCCAGAATTTGTCTTTTCTCCACTTCTCAATTCCCATTAATAATCCCGAAAAGTCATTACGTAATAATTTTATTTTGTGCTTTAATATTATTTAATCTAATCGTAGAACTTTGGATTAGTTAATGAAAAAATAGAAAGAATGTATTAATTTTGATTGGTGCATTCCCACCACGAGTATGGTGAACGTGTCGTTAAATACAGCCGTCGGACTTGAAAAAGCAAAATGCTACATGAGCTAAATATATCCTCCAATAGTATTGTTAACGATGATGTAATAAATATTACTACTATATTTTCCAAAACTAAATTATGCACTTGTATCTTGAAATTATCTGAATAATATATGGTTTTAAAACTAAAAAAAAACTATGGTTTCTATACCACAAACGAAAATACTCTCTTCATTTGAAAATATAAAATGGTTTGGAGGTTTTGTTTTCCAAAATATAAAATATTTTAACAATCCAATATATTTTTTAACTTTATTTAATATTGTGTTACTACTAATATTTTGCAATCTATTTTATGATTGGTTTGTGGATATTTTACAAATATTTTAATATTCTTTCCTAAATAATTTAACTAAAAACAAAAAGTTTGTGGAAGTCCTTTTATCTTGGTTCATTAATACTTTTATAA